AAAGGAAGGTCGGATAGGGGAGCAGGGAAGCACACATCTTAATTAAGGGAGCCATCTTAGGGTTGGCAAGAGATTTGGTGCTCCCAGGTGCCCAGGGCGATGTCCCCAGTTAGTTCCTGGGGCAGCTGAGGACAGAGAACCTGAAATGACCCTATCCTATAGCCATACTGATTAATATCTTGCATATCACCATAGAACCTTCATCTGGAGATGGATGGAGATAGAGACAGAGACCCACACTGGAGCACTGGACTGAGCTCCCAATGTCCCAAGATTTTTTTTTTAAATATCTGTTACTATTTGGGTGCTGATAGGTGAGTGGCCCTCTTTCTTTTCTTCTGGAAATGTGAGAATACATTTCCAGATTCTGCCAGCAATCAAAAAGTAAAAAAAAAATAAAAATGAAGCGCTCTCTGAGAAGCCATTGTTCATTTTCTTTAAACTCTTTTAGCAGAACAACTGAACGACACAAGTCATTGAAAGCAGCCTTCAAAAGGGTTCATTTGCTTGTTTCATTTTGAAGGGAAGAGATCAGGGCCTAGCTTCTGGAGGTCCCGCTTTCAGCTTGCAAATGGAAGGGCTGAAATAGAACCATAAGAAGTCAGGGGCTTCTCTGTGAGCCTCACGTGTGTACACAGTCACGTTCTCAAAACATCTGGGAAATCAGAAAACTACCCAAGAAAGCTGAAGAGCAAATAAGAATGGTCAGTAACATTCTGTTCCTGAAGCAGATGTCTGCCCTCACTTTAATCTCCCTGCTTCCTGGAAGGAGAAGCAGACTGTGCTGTACCCAGAACCTTCAAAGTTATCACTTGGTTTGTTTTACCTTTTGAGACAAGGTCTCAGTGCCTAGCCCAGGTCGGCCTTGAACATGTGACCCTGTTTGGCACACTTTCTTTAAGAACACAGATTTGAACAAAGTCAATGGTTTTATTCTTTCCACTATCCAGAAATATTCAGTAGAAATATTTAAACATTTGTTGTGGTGGTGGTGGTTTGGGGGACAGGGTTTCCCTGTAGCTTTGGAGCCTGTTCTTGAACTCATTCTATAAACTAGGCTGGACTTGAACTCACAGAGACCTACACAACTCTATCTTCCAATTGCTGGGATTAAAGGCGTGTGCCAGCACTGCCCGGCTCAGTAGAAATACTTAAAATGAGTCCTCATTTTTGTCCAAGAAATTGTTTCAGGCTCTGCTGATAAAAAAAAGCATGTAAAAAAGAAGATTAAAAAAAGTCTTGCCTTCTGAAGGGAGGACGGTGGCATCTAGTGGGACCAGGGAGCTAACTCTGAGTGCCTAGACAGATGATGAACAACTCACATGACCTTAGGGACCGCTTCAGTTTGATTACAAGAGTATCATCAGTCGCAAATTATCACCTTGGTGAGACTTGTCTCCACCCTCTACCAGGGAAGGACAATTTCAGAGAAGGCAGAATAGAGTTTGAGGTGTTCATCACCTGTAGGAAGCAGTGAGGCCTCATCTGCACTTATCAGAGCTGGCCAGGTGGGAAGTCTGGCCTTCCACGCCCGCTCTTATTCAGAACAGAACTGGAATCCTTTCATTCTGAGCATGCCCAGTGGGGAGCCAAGAGTGAGGTGACGACCTAAAGGGAGCAGAAAGCACCAGGTGGGGTGGACCACCGCTGCCCCACTAACTGGCACGTGCCTGGTATTCCATGCCTATCCCTTTGCTTTTGGCTTTTCTGTAATGTTTGTTTAAGTAAGTCTCCTGAGTAAGGCTTAGAAGTAGTTGTTGCTTTGGAGGATATCCTGAAAGCCATGTTTTAGGAAGGAAAGTTAGAGGTAGGTGCCCAAAGGTAATATCAAATGTCCTTCACTGGGCTTCTGGGAATACTCCTGGCTAGGGGCTCAGCACTGCCATTCCCTGGGAGCTTCCATAGGACAGTGGCCCTACCCAAGTTCACAGCTCCATTTGAGCAGCCCTTATCCAAAGAGGACTCTTCGCCAGTGGGGAGTTGAGCACAGATGCCCCTGGTTGCTAGGAAATGCTCTCCTTCACTTATAATATCCCCAGATGATATTAACTCCTATCAAGCCCTCTGGTAAGTTGTAGAGACAGAGAGTGCGGGTAACCTGGGCAGTACATCCAAACAGGGAAGAGGTAAGGACGTTCCTAGCTCTCCAGCTCCAGATCTCTGGCCTTTGATCACTTTACTATGGTAACCCTCATTATATGCTCTACTGAGTCTCCATGCATCATAGTTTTCTTAGAATGGCGTATTCATGCCCAGAGTGTCTGAATATCTACCGTGATGGCCAGCACAGAACACATAATCGATTTCTGATAGTGAGATGGCTGATAGGCAGTGACCAGATCAGACAGTTGTGCCATCTTAAGAACTTTGTGTGAGGCTGGAGAGGCGGCTCCCCAGTTTAAAGTACTTGCTGCTCTTGCAGAGGACCTAAGGTCAGCTCCCAGCTTCCACATGGCAACCACAACTGTCTGGCTCCAGTTCCAGGAGATCCAGTACCCTCTTCTCAGCCTCCCCAGGCGCCAGCACACACGTGGTACACATACATATATGCATGCAAAACACACATACATGTGAAATAAAACTAAATAAACCTTTTTAAAAATTCAACATGATCTGCCTATGACTAAAGAAGCTTTTAGGTGCTTTTATGTTTTATTAAAAGGTAGTTTGCGATAGTGAGATTTAAATTGTTGGATGGACCTAGAGGAGAATCAGTACATAAATATTTGAGAAGCCTTTGAAAGATCTGCACTAAGATGTTAGAAAGTAAATGGAGAATATCTGCTTTGATTTAGGGCAGAAAAATCAGCAGGCCTGTAAGGACTGGGTGATGTCTTATATCCATTGTATATCAGTGGATTCCCTATAATACATGGTGTCTATGATATATATTTATAGAAGAAAAACATAACAAAAAATAAAAGAAGCAAATGACTTTGGCATTCTGGGATGCAGCTACCTATTGAGATCTGGAACATGAAAATATGTGTTTTCTGGAAAGATGGGGTTGTATTTTTTGTCTAACGTAATTAGCTTTGGTGTTGGCGGGTATAAAATAGTTCATTTTAGGGCCTTCAATAACATCTGCTCAGACCCACAGGAAATAGAAGAGGAACGTTTCATCTCATAACTCAGAAAGGAATCTGAAGTCTCATTTTGCCATCAGGTTCTTCCCAGCAAAGCCCCTCTGTGCGCTGCAGAGGGCAAGGCGCTCAGACTACATATCAGCAGTGGACTGAAGAGCCCTGTCCTTTGATGTAGGTGGGTCATCTGTCTATCTGTTGCTTTCATTGGTTAATTAATAAAGAAACTGCTTGGCCTTTGATAGGCCAGCCTTTAGGTGGGTGGAGTAGACAGAACAGAATTCTGGGAGAAAGAAAGCCGAGTTAGGCAGTCGCCATAGCTCTCCTCTCTGAGATGGATGCTGGTTAAGAATATTCCCGGTAAGACACCACCTCGTGGTGCTACACTCATTAAAAATGGGTTAATCAAGATGTGAGCATTAGCCAGTAAGAGGCTAGAGCTAATGAGCCAAGCAGTGTTTAAAAGAATGCAATTTGTGTGTTGTTATTTCCGGGTATAAAGCTAGCCATGCGGGAGCTGGGCGGGAACGCAGCCCGCACCTCCCTACTACAGTCCTTCACTTCAGTTTCAAACTAGAACCTTCTAGCATTCATATTTGCATTTATTCTTTAACTTTTATAGATGGCATATTTTATTTAGCCTCTGAGAAAGAAGCTGAGTTGGATGTAATGACTCACACTTTTAGCTCTGGCACTGGAAGTGCAGAGGCAGGGTCTCAGGGAATTCAAGGCTAGCCTGGTGTACATGGTAAGTTCCAGGCCAGAGCTCCATAGTGAGACCCCGTCCAAAACTGGTGACCAGAAATAATATTTATTCATTTCAGCCATCCCATAATGAAACACACCCATCACCATGATATGAACATAAAGGTACATGTGTTTCCTTTTCAGGCCTTCCTGGTTTATCCCTTGTGGGCACGGGGATCTGTTTCCTCCAGCAGCCATGAGAAGACAAGGGGCCTTCTTAGGGTCAGCAGCTAGTAGACCTGCAGCCTCTGGTATCTGTGATTCATCCGCTGGTTTACAAAGTGCCTTACTGTGACTGCAGCCACAAAAATCACGTTGAGAGCAAGAACCATGAA